TGAGTATTGCTGATGTTTAATGTTCTTTTTTCCAGATATAAGGAATCTCTCTCTTTTCTCCTAAACTATGTATAACTCATAAAAATTTAAGACAGTGCTTTTGTAAACAAAAATGAAACATTTATCTTTTCTTGATGCCTGATCCCTCGGGAATTGGAAAACTCTTAATGAGTACTCTTATTTTCATAGAAATGTAATTATTTGCATAAGTTCAATAAGAATCTGTCCTCCTTATTAATAGGACATAATTGGAAACCTCAGTTGTATAACCAAGCTTTGACTAGAATGTTATGTTTGAGAATGATACTCAGAGAATAATGATGACCAGACACTTTTAAGTAACTTTATGGAGCCAATACTCACAAAGCCCTTCCGGGAAAACTGGCCTGCCTTACAAAGTTCCCAGCCAGGTGAGTAAGGAAGGTCACTTCCTGGCAGGCCCAAGAACCTTACAATATTTGCAGACCTTGAAAAGAGAAGAATTTACCCAAAGCTGTGGACACTACCATGGAATCTGGTGGCAGGTTCTTGGATTGACTTCCTAGCCTCTAGAGGCTTTTACAAGTTCCATCTAAAATTCCTTATAAAAACTTCCAGCAAAGCAAATTTAAAAGGCCTATATGATACATTGCCATTTTTGCTGCATCTATGTAAATAATGATAAACAGTCTTATTTTTAGATCAAAAATCTACTTTCCTTTGAGACTGTGTTTTGATCAAGAAGAGGGTGACTGTCTTAGTCATCTAGTGCTGCTATAACAGAAATACCACAAGTGGATGGCTTTAACAAAGAGAAATTCATTCTTTCACAGTCCACTAGGCTACAAGTCCAAACTCAGGGCATCAGCTCCAGCAGAAGGCTTTCTCTCTCTGTCAGCTCTGGAGGAAGGTCCTTGTGATGCATCAGTCTTCCTTTGGTCTGGGAGCATCTCAGTGCAGGAACCTTAGGTCCAAAGGACGCGCTCTGCTCCCAGCACTGCTTTCTTGGTGGTATGAGGTTCCCATGTGTCTCTGCTCACTTCTCTCTTTTATATCTCAAAAGAGACTGGCTTAAGACACTACCCAATGTTGTATACCTCATCAGTATAACTGCCACTAATCCATCTTATTAGATCATAGTGACTGAATTTACAACACATAAGGAAATCACATCAGATTACACAATCATACAATACTGGGAATCATGACCTAGCTAAGTTGATACACAAATTTTGGGGGGGACACAATTCAATCCATGACAGTGACTGTGGAGAGAAATTTTATATTTCAAAAGAAAGTTATGGCAAGCCCTTGTTGGGCTATCAAATTCACTGTCTTTGAGCTAAAGTCTCTTTGTAAACTACAGACAAGCAATAGTTTTGGTTTCTACCTGTTAATTGAAGTAGTTCTTGTTACATAGCTTATGCTTTGCCCTATATGTCTATATACTATCAATTATCCAGACTGAAAAATAGAAATATAAGAGACCAACAATGTAAAAACAAGACAACAAACTTTTGTTCATTTACATGCAGCACTAAAAGGAAATTGTAAAAAGCCTCCTGCTAAAAACGGGGTAGCGGTGGTGTCTGACCTCCTCTAACTTCTCAAAGCGCAAGGAGACTCAAGATCAACAGCCCAAGGCTGATTCCTATGAGGCGGAAGTCAGACATGCCTCCTCTCTCCACCATGTTTACCAATACTGACACCAACCATCCCTCTGATTTAGAAAATAATTTTGGAATCATTATTCCCTGTCCTTGAGCATAGAGAATGTGACCCAGCTGGAGCTGGGCTCACAAGCACTCACAAGGACACATCAGCTGGGCCCTGAGATATAAAAACAATAGATAGGATAATCTTGGAAAATATCTTTTAGGGAAACTTACACGTAAACCATTCAAACAGAACACAAAAGACTTTCCACTCTTATCTTTTTCTATTAGCATTTAGTGAATAGAAAATTTGTTAGACCAATAACGACCCTCCTGACTGTCATTACTGAAACCTGTACCAATGATTTTTAAGAAAGACAATTCGAACTGTAGGATCACAGTTTCTGCCAATCTGTGAAAAGGTGAAGCTTTCAGTGGTTTTGCCCATTTTGTAATGTTAATATATACTGATGACTCTGTAATTTCCTTGGACTCAGGCAGACATGCCTCTAGCAGCCTGGTTGTCCGCTTCCCACTTTTGCCTTTTTGAATACATGTTGAATAAAACCTTCTTTTCGCCTTACTAAACTTGGTGATGTTTTTTCCCTGCAACACCTCCCATGACTCTCTACTTCTCTGCTGGGTTCGATAGTTCATTCCAATGGCCACACAGAACTCACAGACTGTCTTAGTCATCTAGTACTGCTCTAACAGGAATACCACAAGTGAATGGCTTTAACAAAGAGAAATTTATTCTCTCACAGCCCTATAGGCTACATATCCAAATTCAGGATGTCAGCTTCTCTGTCGGCTCTTGAGGAAGGTCCTTGTCATCAGTCTTCCCTTGGTCTGGGAGCATCTCAGTGCAGGAACCTCAGGTACAGAGGACGTGCTCTGTTCCCGGCACTGCTTTCTTGGTGGTATGAGGTTCCCATGTGTCTCTGCTTGCTCCTCCCTTTTATATCTCAAAAGAGACTAGCTGAAGACACTACCCAATGTTGTATACCTCATCAGTATAACTGCTGCTAATCCATCTTATTAGATCATAGTGATTGAATTTACAACACATAAGGAAGTCATATCAGATTACAAAATGGTACACAATTATACAATACTGGGAATCATGACCCAGCCAAGTTGACAGGTATTTTTGGGGGACACAATTCAATCCATGACACAGACCATACTCACGCTTATGAGGTTTATCACGGAAGTAACAGGTTACAATTCAGGCTCAAGAACACTCAAGGATCCAGTTTTTCCATCAGGATAGCCTCTTCCCAGCCATGCTCACAGGCACACCTCTTCCTGGCCCTCGGCCTCTCCCCAAAGGCATTCATTCAGCTTTCTCGCTCCAGCCCACTGCTCCATCTCCTACGGGTCTTTCCTGCTGCTCTCCTTCCTTGGTGGTGGTGGGCTCTTCTTTTCCCCACCTCTGGGGTGGCTTATTTTAAGCCCAGCGGGATGGCAAAACTAACCAATCCTCTTACCAAAAAAAAACCAAACCCATTGCTGTCGAGTGGATTCCAACTCAAAGCGACCCTATATTTACAGAGTAGAATTGTCCTGTAGGGTTTTCAAGGAACAGCTGGTGGAGTCCAACTGCCAACCTTTGGGTTAGCAGCCGAGCTCTTAGCCACGGTGAGGAGAAAGACCACATAAAACTAATCCATTACACCGTACCCTCTAACTAAAGGCAAATTTATATGTTCAATCACAGAAATAGTTCTTTTAGTCACAGGAGCTGCTGTATTGGCCAAAGTGAAACCTAAAACACCATAGAATTTCTCTTGGCTAAATCTCAGTCTTGGAGTCTTTAGCTCAGAGGAAATTTTCAAACCTTGGTTATTGTTCTTTTAGTGATTCACTACAATGTTTCAAAAGAAACATGTAGGAATATAGATTCCTAAAATGTATAATCTCAGGAATCTTAAATATGTATATTTTTGGTCAAGCTCTTAGTATCCCGGAGAGTATAACCAAGAGTAGGGATTGTTAATACGGAAACAAGCCCGGTTTGACACAATGATTAAGTCTTTGGAACCCCCTTTGTGACAAAGACCTTTACTAACCATAAATTCACTCAGAGTTTACCTAATGCAGAACGTAACTTTAGGTAACTAATTTCCTTTGCTTTCTTAATCATTGGAATTCCCTTAACGGTTGAGGTACCTTTTATCAGTTTAAAACTTCTGGCCTACATCCAAAGACTTAAACGCAAAAGAATGTCCCCCTCCCTGCACACGTCCCCCCCCCCACCCCAACCTCAAGCCAGCTAATTTCAGTAAGGGAAGGCAGGGTTCAATCAATCACGTTAAAAGTAGCCAGTGGTTGATTTTCTATTCCCCTCCCCCCATTCTCTTTAAAAGCTTCGTTGTAGCCGTTAAGAACTGGCTGATAACCAAAAGGTTCAGCAGTTTAAATCCACCAGTCGCTCCTGGAAGCCGTATGGGGCAGTTCTACGCCGCCCTCTAGGGTCGCTGTGAGTCGGAACTGACTAGACTGCAACGGTTTTTTGGTTTTTTTTTTTTTAACTAGCCTACATTGAGTCTTTTATTTTTTTAGAAACAGAATGGTCTTCCTATGTTCAGATACAGTAACTGCTGGAATAAAACCTGTTTTCATTTATTTATGTTTTGATTATTTTTTAACAACACGAATCCCTGGGCATTCTCCAAACCACTCCGCTATGGTCAAGGCAGCAGGCGAGTGCCACAGGCATTTTAAGAGATCTCCGTCCCTTTCCCAGAAAGCGTCCCCCGTTGGAGGCCCGCCCCTCTTCCGCGTCCGAGCTTCTCTTCAAAGGCGAACTCTCTCGGCCGTTGGCCATTTTCCTGAGAGATAAAGTCAAGTCTTCCCCTTCTAGGAGTATCGCCCAGACCGCCCCTTCCCGCCCCCCTCAGCATCGGCGCGAACCTCTGCTTCTTCCAAGAGTGCCAATCAATCCACGCACTTTCCCCACAAAGCACCAATAAGCTGCTTCCTCCCCACCTCTTGCCCCCGGCACCACTCCCCAAGCACCCTCCATCCCTCCCTGCAGCCTTCCTCTTCCCTTCGCTAGACAGACTACCCGCCAGCCCTTTCCTCTTCCCGTAGCTCCGCAGCAGCCCCTCCCCCGCCCTCACATGACCCTAGACCAGCCCCATGCGCTCTCGGGCACACAAAAAAACCTTCCTTCAGCTCAGAGCCCTCGGCCCCCGCAGCCCACTTCCCGTAGGCTCCGCAGTGCGCTGGCGCGCTGGCTTGGACAGTGATTGGCTCCTGGTGCGCGTCACTCTGGGCCTCGGTGCCTCGCCATTGGTGGGTTGCCCTCACGCGCCCTGTCATCCGCCGACGGCTGACGCGAGGAGCCTCCTGGGGTGTGTGGCGCAACCCGTTTTTCTTCCGGCGGCTTGCTGACCTCTTGTTATGGCGTCGGCTTCGGCTGCAGAGAGAGTGATTGCCACTGCAGTTCCTGCTTCAGGTACCAACAGCAATGGTGAGTCGTCTGAAGTTGAAGGAGGAGTTGGAGCAGTGGGCGAAGAGAAGGACGCGCCTGTGAAAGCAGAGGCCGCTGGGGACAGCGAGGAGGACGGAGAGGATGTGTTCGAGGTGGAGAAGATCTTGGACATGAAGACCGAGGGGGTACGTGTGAGGCCTGGGAGAGCAGAGGCCGGAGGTCTTGTGTTCTCCTTCAGTTCTCTCCAGGCTGGACGTGGCACCGTCGGGACCTCTGGGCTGTGGAGAAGAGAAGGGAACGGGTGGGTGGAGATGGAGACGCCGTTAAGGTGGCTGGCTGAGTGTTTTACTTTGAGGTTCTCTTTATGCTTTATGCCTCAAAGGCATTCGTTTTGAGCTTCCACCGCGTGGAGAGCTCAGTGGAGAACTAGTGGGAGGGAAGACACCTAACCCTCCCAGAATTCACAAGCTGGAAAATAATAGCATGTGCGTATTATAGAACATAAGCAGGGAGAATGAACGTTACAGTCACGAAACGTTCTAGTCTCAGCGGAAGCATACAAAATCGTGGGAGAAGTGGAATGACATTTCCAAATAGACTCTGAGCTGTGTCTGTGAAGGTATGTTTCCAGACGTTTAGAAGGATGTTTTGGCAGAAGAGATGAAGGATATGGTCTGTGAGAATCAGAAGGGTCTAGACAATTGGTGAAGGGATTATACGGTTGTGTATGTTTATTTACATGATTGGGGCTACTGTTATATGTTGGGAAGTGGTAATACTGAAGTAATGCTTGTCTTCATGTCCGTTGTTTGCTCCGTCTTCCCAGTCTTTTCAAAAATTCTGATCGGTTCTCTGGTTTAAAATCTTGAGGAATTCCCTTTCACGCTGAGAATAAAACACCAGTCTTCTGGATAGCGTTTAAAGCCTTCAAAATCTGAGCAGTATAATCCTCCCCCCTTTCCCCCCATGCATTATATGATTCTAGCCACACAGTATATTTGCCGTTCCTCATCACACTATGCCTTGATGCTTACCAGTCTCCTGAGCTGGCCTGTTCTCTTCCCTCTTCTGGTGAAATCTTATTCAGTCTTTCAAGACTCAGAAAGCCTTCTCTGACTCTTTACAGAGTGAGATGCTTCCTCATTTATGCCCTTTTAACATTTTGTATAGATCTCTGTTTTAGCATTTAAAGTTTTAAAGTTCTTTGTTTCTGTCTCCTGCTAGATTGTGGGCTCTTTTAATATACAGAATATGATTTTTATTATTAATCTTTGTATCATTGGTATTTAGTCTAACGCCCAGCATGGCAATTAGTGCTTAGTGTGTATATTAAAAAAAAAACAAAAAACAAAAAACACACATTGTAATTGAGTTGAATTCTGGCTCATAGATTGATTAAATGAGTTAATTAAATGTGGGCTGGAGACTGGGAAAGAGGATGGAGGGATGGACAGTAGCAGAATATTCTGTTTTAGTAGGTAGGTGTGAGATGACTGAAGGGCCTCACACAGTAGTCTCTATGTCCCGTTCTTAGTATTGTCTGTTGTTTTATATTGTCATATGCTACCTTGTGTTAACACCATATGTCTGTCAGTTTGTTGTATTGTCAGTTTGTCTATCAGTGATAGGATGGTATCCTACAAGAAAGACCAATTAATCTGAATGTTATTCAAGGTTACACATCAACCCCTAAGGCCAAAGATAAAGAAATTGAAGAGTTTTTACCAATTTCTGCAGCCTGAAATGCTCAAACATGCAATCAAGACACACTGATAATTCCTAGTGACTGGAATGCAAAAGTGGGAAACAAAGAAGGATTGGTAGTTGGAAAATATGGCCTTGGTGATAGAAATGATGCCGGAGATCACATGATAGAATTTTGAAAGACCAACAACTTCTTCATTGCAAATAGTTTTTTTTCAGCAACATAAACGGTGACTATGCATGTGGACCTCGCCGGATGGAATACACAGGAATCAAATTGACTACGTCTGTGGGAAGAGATGATGGAAAAGCTACATATCATCAGTCAGAACTAAGAACAAGGGCTGACCGTGGAACAAACCATCAATTGCTCATATGTGAGTTCAGGCTGAAGTTGAAGAAAATTAGAACAAGACCTTGAGTATATCCCACCTGAATTTAGAGACCATCTCAAGAACAGATTTGACACATTGAAAACTAATGACCAAAGATCAGATGAGTTGTGGTATGACATCAAGGACATCATACATGAAGAAAGCCAGAGATCATTGAAAAGACAAGAAAGAAAGAAAAGACCAAAATGGATGTCAGAAGAGACCCTGAAAGTTGCTGTTGAATGTAAAGTAGCTAAAGTGAAAGGAAGAAATTAACAAGTAAGTAACAAGAGCTGAACAGAAGATTTCAAAGGGTGGCTAGAGAAGGTAAAAGTAAGGTATTATAATGACATGTGCAAAGACCTGGAGACAGAAAACCAAAAGGGAAGAACTGCTGAAAGAACTAAAGAAAAAATTCAAGCCTTGAGTTGCAATATTGAAGGATTCTACGGGGAAAATATTAAACGACACAGGAAGCATCAAAAGGAGATGGAAGGAGTACACAGAGTCACTGTATCAAAAGGAATTGGTCAGCGTTCAGCCATTTCAGGAGGTAGCATGTAATCAAGAACCAATGGTACTGAAGGAGTAGGTCCAGGATGCACTGAAGGCATTGGCGCAAAACAAGGCCTCAGAAATTGATGGAATACCAATTGAGATGTTTCAGCAAATGAATGTAGCACTAGAAGTGCCCACTTGCCTATGCCAAGAAATTTGGAAGACAGCTACCTGGCCAACTGACTGGAAGAGATCCATACTTGTACCCATTCTGATCCAACAGAATGTGGAAACTATTGAACGTTAGCATTACTATCACATGTAAGTAAAATTTTGCTGAAGATCATTAGCAAATGGTTGCAGCAGTACATCCACAGGGAACTGCCAGAAATGCAAGCCGCATTCAGAAGAGGACATGCAACAAGGGATATCATTGCTGATGTCAGATGGATCTTGGCTGAAAGCAGAGAATACCAGAAATACGTTTACTGTTTTTCATTGACTTTGCAAAGGCATTTGACTGTGGATCGTAACAAATTATGGATAACACTGCGAAGAATGGGTATTCCGGAACACTTAACTGCGCTCATGCAGAACCTGTACATAGACCAAGAGGCAGTCATTTGAACAGAACAAGGGGATACTGTGTGGTTTAAAGTCAGGAAAGGTATGTGTCAGGGTTGTATTTTTTCGCCTTTTTTACCATACTTGTTCAGTCTGTATGCTAAACAAATAATCCAAGAAGCTGGACTATAAGAAGAAGAACACAGCATCAAGATTGGAGGAAGACTCATTAACAAACTGTTATAGGCAGATGACACAACCTTGCTTGCTGAAAGTGAAGGTTACTGGAAGCACTTAACTGATGAAGATCAAAAACCACAACCATCGTATGGATTACACCTCAACATAAAGAAAACGAAAATCCTCACAACTGGACCAATCAGCAACATCATGATAAATGGAGAAAAGATTGAAGTTGTCAAGGATTTCATCTTACTTGGATCCACAAACAGTACCCATGGACACAGCAGTCAAGAAATCAAACGACGCATTGCATTGGGCAAATCTGCTGCAAAAGACCTCTTTCAAGTGTTTTAAAAAAGCAGAGATGTCACTTTAAGGACTAAGGTATGCCTGAACCAAGCTGTGGTGTTTTCAGTCGTCTCATTTGCATGTGAAAACTGGACAATGAATAAGGAAGACTAGAGAAGATTCGATGCCTTTGAATTATGGTGTTGTTTAAGAATATTGAATATACCATGGTCTGCCGAAGAATGAACAAATCTTTCCTGGAAAAAGTAGAGCCAGAATGGTCATTAGAAGCAAAGATGGTGAGACTTCGTTGCACATACTTTGGACATGTTATCAGGAGGGACCAATCCCTGGAGAAGCACGTCATGCTTGGCAAAGTAGAGGGTCAGCGAAAAAGATGACCCTCAACGAGATGGATTGGCACAGCGGTTGCAGCCATGGGCTCAAGCATAACAGTGATTGTGAAGATGGCGCAGGACCGAGCAGTGTTTTGTTCTGTTGTACATAGGGTCACCATGAGTTGGAATTGATTCGATAGTACTTAATAACAGCAGCTCAGTATCCGTATTATCTTTGACTTTACCTATCTAGAAGCTTCATTTACCCTTGTATTACATGGTGATAGTACCTACTTTGCATGTTGTTTTAAAGATTGAAGGAGCAAAGATTTAGACAGTGCATGACACATTGTAAAGCACTTGATAGAAATGTAATCTTCTTTTGATGTGTTTTCAGCCACTTAAAAATATAAAACCATTTTTAACTCTCAGGATGAGCAGAAGCGGGCAAGCCCTGTGGTCGTTTGCTGAGCTCTCATATAGTCGGGCTCTAGTATCTGTAGGGAATGTAAATTGGAACATCTTTTCTGGAAGGCATTTTGGCAGTTTTAAGAATTTCTAAATGCCTTTGTGACCCCACTAATCTCGTTTTTGAGAATTTATTGTAACAACTTAATCAGAGATGCTCAGAGATATAATAGCTTTATTTATAAACACAAAAAATTAGAAACAACCTAAGCAACCTTAGGTTAGCAAAAGGAGAGTTGTTTAAAAGTGATTCTTGTATTTATATAATGAAATAAACTTTAGTTGCTAAAATGTCATGTTTTTTGAAAATATTTAAACAAGAAGTACTTGACATACAAGTTAAAAAGCAGTATAAGAAATTATAATGTGATCCTTACAATGGAATGCTACACAGCGGTAAAGAACAACGATGAATCTGTGAAACATAACCTGAAGGAATCTGGAAGGTATTATGCTGAATGTATTTAGTCAGTTGCAGAAGGACAAATATAAGACCACTATTATAAGAACTCAAGAAAAAGTTTAAACAGAAGAAAACTTTCTTTGATGGTTAGGCGGGTGGGGAGGGAGGGAGAGGGGTATTCACAAACTAGATAGTAGACGGGAATTAGGTAAAGGGAAGGACAGCACACTTTACAGGGGAAGTCAGCACAACTGGACTAAACCTAAACCAAAGCTAAGAAGTTTCCTGAATACAAGCAAACACTTCTAGGGACAGAGTAGCAGGGGCGGGGGTCTGGGGACCATGGTTTCAGGGGACATCTAGGTCAATTGGTATAACAAAGTTTATTAAAATGTTTTGCATCCCACTTTGGTGAGTGACATCTGGGGTCCTAAACGCTAGTAAGCAGCCATCTAAGATGCATCAGTTGGTCCCAGCCCACCTGGAGTAAAGGAAAATGAACACCCTGGGCACAAGGAAAGTATTAGCCCAAGAGACAGAAAGGGCCACATAAACCAGAGATTCTGTCAGCCTGAGACCAGAAGAACTAGATGGTACCCAGCTACCACAATGACTGCCCTTACAGGGAACACAGGAGAGAGTCCCTGATAGAGCAGGAGAAAAGTGGGGTGCAGAACTCAAATTCTAGTAAAAAGACCAGACTTAATGGTTTGATTGAGACTGGAGGGACCCCGAAAGACATGGTCTCTGGACTCTGTTAGCCCAAAACTAAAACCATTCCCAAGGTCAGCTCTTCAGACAAAGATTGGACTATGGGACATAAAATGATACTCATGAATGATACTCATGAAGAGTGTACTTCTTAGCTCAAGTAGGTACATGAGACTAAATGGGCAGCTCCTGTCCAGAGGCGAGATGAGAAGGCAGAGAGGGGGTCAGGAGCTGGTTGAATGGACATGGGATATCTGGGGTAGAAAGAAAGAGTGTGCTGTCACATACATGGTGAGCAATAGGGTCACAAAACAATGTATGTATAAATTTTTGTATGAGAGACTAATCTGAATTGTAAACTTTCACTTAAAGCACAACAATTAAAAAAAAAAAAAAACTGGAGACACCTCACCAAAAAAAAAAATTATAATGTGATCCCAGTGTTTTTAAATGTGTATGTTATACGTACATATGCTTGCGTGCGCGCACGCGCGCACACACATAGTTGTCTTGTGCCATCTAGTGTATTCCAACTCATAGCGATCCTATAGGACAGAATAGAACTGCCTCATAGGGTCTCCTAGGTTGTAATGTTTAGGGGAGCAGACACTGGTGTTTTTCTACTGTGAAACTGCTGCAATTGGTTACAGTCAAGCCCTTAACCATTGTGCCACCAGGGCTTCTTACGTATATAGTAGGAGAAAAAAATAGGTCAAAGTGCTATCAATTCTCTGGGTAATTCTTTCTGTTTCATTGTTTTTCAAAGACTACACATTGCTTACATTATTAGAAAAGGGTTTCAGTCTTTGATTATAAAAAAAATAATTCAGCGATACGTTTTTTCTTAACCTACTTGTTTCAGGATGTGAACATGCTTTACGTGATAGTAATCTCCATTTAGACGCAGTTTTCAAATTCATTCATATATTTTCAGTAGTTGGTATGTTTTTGGATAATCAAGTCAGCAATATCCTTTATTGTGCCTATTTTTAATTTCTACAACAGGGTAAAATCCTTTACAAAGTTCGATGGAAAGGATATACATCAGATGACGATACCTGGGAGCCTGAGGTTCATCTTGAGGACTGTAAAGAAGTTCTGCTTGAATTTAGGAAGAAAGTTGCAGACAACAAAGCTAAGCCAGTCAAGAAGGATATTCAGGTATCATGTTTTGTCTCATTTCTTATGTTGTATATTTCTATAAGTCAAAGTTAATAAACCAATTTTTAGATTACATTATAAAGTTAGAAATTTTAATCCATTTCAGATTACTGAAAGGCTAATTATCCAGGTCCTTTGTTTTTCTCTTCTATTTCCAATTCAATTTTTAGCCATTTCATTGATTTTCAGTAGTTCTTCTTGATGGTAGGCAAGAATAAATAGATCAGAGGAGCCCAGATAAATCAAACTTCTGTCATCAGCATTTTGGAAAGAGATTTGATGGTGAGACAGACTGCAGTAATGTTAAAACGTGCACGTTTGATTTAATGGTTTTCTTCTGTGGATTTTTCCATTTTTTAAAATCCTTTTTTTCTCTTATTCTATGAATAATTGGCTTTATTTATGAATTTTTACATAATTTTCTCATTTAACTTTTCCATGTAAATTTTATTTGTAGCTTCTATTTATAAACTGAATCAACTCATAGAGTTGCTTTTCAGGTTTTCTTTTTCGTTAGAAATAACTAGTATTCTTTAGAAAATTGGAGCTCTTGAACTTAGTGAAAATTTCTCACATTAGGAAACTTAATTCTTGGGTATTAAAGCCTGTACTTTAAGGAGTGAACATTGATCCCCTATTTTCCTACAGCTTGAGTTTCAGCCACATTCTTTAAAATAACTAGTGATTTTTTTAAATGACCAAAACAGTATTAGAATCCAGTTTTAACTATTTGTAGTGGTTGTTAATAGTAACAGTAACAGAACAGCTGGTATTTACTCAGTGTTTACATTATGCATGTGCCAAACGTGGGATAACTTTATATAGATTAAGATGGGAAACTGAGGCTAAGATAAGTTAACTAACTAGCCCAAGTTCACCCGCTCAGTAATTATAGAGCCAGGCAGCCTGCACTCTTGGTCACTGTGCTAGATTGCCTTTTGGTTTGGGTTATAGCTTAAAATCCATTTAGAGGAGTAGAATTGCCAATTTTTAATTTATACTATAGTGGCAGGGCCTCTAATATACAGTTTTTAAATTACTAAGCAAAACATTCAATACTTTTTAAATTTTTGTGAAAGAAACCCTTTACAGAATGGGTTCAGATGGGTTCAGATTAAAGTAGGGACCCCCTATTCTTTTTCTTGTAGTTATACTTCAGTTCTCTAGAATGAATGCATACTCTTCCTTCATATTTCTTTCCCTAAAACCACTCACGTATACTTTCAAATTTTTTTACTGAGTGATTGGTTTGTAGTGTTCTCAAAATTTACTTTTTGATTGAAATCCTCCTAAAGTGTTTTTCTCACTTCCTTGCTTTAGTAAGAAAATACTTTATGTTTAAGTTTCTTTTTTTGTTTGTTTGTTTTTAGTTTAGAATAGTAGGAACTATTTGAGATTATCTGATGCAAATCAAACAATTGGAGAAGGAAGATTTGTGTACAGTCTTGCTTGTTCCATATATAACTGTGACAAGTTTAAGGACATTCTAGGATCCAAGACCTTAAAAAGCTTTTGAAGTTGTCTTTGGATCAGTAGCTACTTGTTTGGAAACTAAGAAAGTCTGTAAAATAATGCTTTCTTGGGGTTTGGAAATTTTGAAGTTCACATCCTGTACAACCCACCGTGGATATTCATTGCTACTTTAATTTGGGACCTTCAGCAACACTGACATTTTCTGTCCCCCTCTCTGTGTTTATCTGCTTTTTTAAATTGGCACACAGCATCACCACCAAGACCTGTTCTGCTGTCAGAGACATAAATAATAATATACAACTTCAAATAGGTAAGTATTTTTAGGGAGTTGAGAAAGTGCTTGGGAGGAAAAAACATTTCTACTAGATTTTATTACTACTACCTCTCAAAACCTTTGAAGTTATTGTTAATGAGTCTTTTAATCTTTTTTGTATTTTATAGAGATTATCCTTAAGTAATGACATATTTGAGGCAAACTCTGATAGTGATCAGCAAAGTGAGACAAAAGAAGATACTTCCTCAAAGAAGAAAAAGAAAAAATTAAGACATAAAGATGAGAAAAGCCCGGAAGATCTGAAAAAGAAAAAAGCAAAGACTGGCAAACTAAAAGAGAAGTCCAAATCAGACCTGGAGAGTTTCTCAGAAAGTTTAGTTTTTGATTTAAGGACAAAGAAAAGAATTTTCGAAGCCAAAGAAGAATTAAAGGAATTTAAAAAGCCAAAAAAAGATGATATAAAAGAAACTAAGGAGTTAAAGAAAGTTAAAAAGGGTGAAATAAGAGATTTAAAGACTAAAGTAAGAGAAGATTTCAAAGAAAACAAAAAAACTAAAAAAGACAAATGCATTGAATCTCAGTTGGAATCTGAATCAAGTGTACTTAATGATTCCCTTTCTCAGGATGATGACAATGAAGATTTACATTCTGATAATAAAGAAGAGAAACAAAAGATTAAAAGTACAAAAGATAAATCAGGGCCAGATATAATTGCAGGTGTTGTATTTGATAAACAGCCAGATGGCAAGGTAAGTGCTGATGAGGACACTGATGTCAGAACAAAGAGGAAAAAGAAGAAACTAAGAAAGACTGAAGAACATAAGGACAGCAACAAGCTAGAAAACAAAGACCTTTTCTTAGAAAGGAAAAATACACATAAAAAGCAAAGGAATCAAGACAAAGGCAAAAGTACCATTGAGTTTGATAAGCCCATACCTGCATCTTCCCAAACACAAAAGAGTTCAAAATTGGGTGGGGAAGAGAGAGGCCACAGGTCTACTGATTCACCTGGAGAGGTAAGCCACTGAGGCAGAGGAGGTGGGGGATGAGTGGATTAAAGAAAGATGACAGTTAAAATCTTATCAAATACATAAATGTTCAGATCAATCCAGTGCTCTTTTGAGTGCTCAGGAAGTTTCACAAGTACATAAGGAACAGGAAGCAATAAAACAGACTGAGAAGAGTTTATCATCGGAGTTATTTAGTACTGTGACTAGGTATAAACCCGTTGCCATCGAGTTGATTCCAACTCATAGCGACCCTGTTCGACAGAAGAGAACTGCCCCATAGGGTTTCCAAGGAGGGGCTGATGGATTCAGACTGCCAAACTTTTGGTTAGCAGCTAAGCTCTTAACCATTGCACCACCAGCGCCGCGACTAGGTATAGGTAGTTGTAAATGCTGAAAATTATCCAGCTTTTGTACCTCCTAGCTTATCTCTTGGTCTTTGACTTTTTATCTTTTAGACTGAAGACATCTAGAAAATTGAAGGCTAATTTGTGAGCACAGTCAGGATTTTTTTTCATTTAGAGGTACTCAGATGGTATGTGGCATTATATAGTAAGGCTTTGGTGTTTTATTAGCCTTTCACATGCTACTTGGTATTTTCCCCTGTTGACTTAAGAATGTGCCCTTTTTACTTTAGTACACAGAGTGTGTTAGTATACGGTGAGTATTTTAATTCTTACAAATTATTATTTACTAGGGAGTTTGTCCCATTAGTAAAGAGCCCTGGCGGCATAGTGGTTACTCACTTGGCTGCTAGCCAGAAGGTTGGTGGTTCGAACCCACCAGCCACTCTGAGGGAGAAAGATGTGGCAATCAGCTTCCATAAAGATTTACAGCCTTGGAAACCCTATGGAGCAGTTCTGCTCTGTCCTTACAGGGTCACTCTGAGTCAGAATCAACTTGATGGCTGTGGGGTTTGCTTTAGTTTTTTGGTTGTCCCATTATTATAAAAATTGTTTTTATTTGGTTTTTCAAATGGAAATATTTTTCAAATTATGGAAGTATTTATGTATGCAGTATTTATCAAGGGCTGTAAAGATCGTTTTCTTTTCATCCATTATTTCTAATTTCTAGTCTTGAGAATTTATCTTAAGCAAATCATTTAAAAGGGAAAAAAAAAATTACGTACAATTGGCCCTCCCTATCCATGGGTTCCACATCCACGGACTCAACCAACCATGAATTGAAAATATTTGGGAAAAAAATGTTATGTTGTTGCTAACGTGTACTATGTAGTTAGGCCTGTAATGGTTGTGTGTGTACTGAACAACATGTGCAGACATTTTTTTTGTCATTATTCCCTAAATACAGTATAACAATTATTTACATAGCATTTACATTGTATTAGATATTATAAGTAATCTAGAGATGATTTAAAGTATAAGTGAGGATGTGCATAGGTTGTATGCAAATACTAAGCCCTTTTATATAAGGGACTTGAGCATTCTCGGATTTTGGTATCCGCAGGGGTTCTGGAACCAGTGCCCCTCAGATACCAAGGAATGACTGTATATCAAGATACTTATGGCAGTACTGGAGTCCTGGTAGTGCAGTGATTAAGAGTTTGACTGCTAACCAAAGGGTTGGCAGTTCGAATCTACCAGCCGCTCCTTGGAAAGAAACCTTATGGGGCAGTTCTACTCCTGTCCTGTGGGTTCGCTATGAGTTGGAATTGACTCGACAGCAATGGGTTTGTTTTTTTAATGGCAGTATTATCTTCAGTAGTGAAAACTGAGAACAATCTGTCTAACCATGGAGAAAATGGTTAAGAAAATGTTAGTACATCATCTTGGGGACTGTTACATAGCCGTTACAATTTTAGTTATGAAATCAAGGTAGCAAAAATAGAAAAGTTTACAAAATGTTAAGGTAGAGAAGAAAATCATGCATACATTGTGAATACAACTAGGAAAAATATTTATGCAAAGTAAATAAAAAAACAAAAAAATTACCAGCAAAATGACAAGAATTGCAAGATCGAGCTTAGGGAAATAAAAATAGTGATTTTTTGTTAGTAGTATTATATGTAAATTTTTTTTTATTATTTTGGTGGTGGTTTTAATAAATTCTTAAAGAGTGAGAAAACGTGTTCAGTTTTGAATTTGACATTTTGCAGATTACGTAGTTGAAGGATAATCTTGATTGAGGAAGTAGTTTATGTGAAAAAATACTTAATAATCAGTGGTCACGTACTGTAGTATATAAAGGTAGCCATTGACCTCATGAACCTGTATTTTCCAGTTTGAAATACATAGTATCACCTCGCTAGCTATTCTTGGTTTGCATCTTTCTTATGTCTCTTTCAGGAGAAAGAGACCAAAAAGAGTGAATCCAAAGAAAAATGCCAGAAAAGGCATGATTCTGACAAGGATGAAAGGGGCAGAAAAGAGCCAAAGGGATTAAAGAGTGAGTATGAATGCTAACATTTTATCATTTGACATTGTCATCTTTTATACAAAGAATTTAATGTACTTGAAGACAAACTCTCTCTTCTAACCTGCAGTGTCATAGAGCTGGAAATTTTCAGTCATCAGGAATTTAGAGCCTTAAACTAAGTTGTGCTAAACTAGTTATCTAAGTTTAAAAAAAAAATCAAACTTGTTGCTGTTGAGTTGCTTCCAACTCATGGTGACCCCATGTGTTGCAGAGTAGAACTGTGCTCTGTAGGGTTTTCTTGGCTGTAATCTTTATGGAAGCAGATCTCCAGGCCTTTCTTCCGTGATGCTGCTGGGTAGGCCCAAACCTCCAACCTTCATTACATAACAGTTTATATTAAGGTTCTGTAATTAATTTTTTCCCTTCTGTTCACTTTATTCTTTCTCCTGTTGAGTATGATGATGAAATAGGTTAGAATTACAGAGAGAGGAAATTAGTTATGGCAGAAAAGTAAATGTCTCTATTATCGTGAATGTTAAAAACATTAACTCTGTGTTATTAGTATAAATATAATATTGAATAAGCATTTTTGGTCACTTCAAGATATACCATAATTGAGACTTCATAACATATATCAATACTGTAACAAGTACTTTATAAAAAATGAACATCACAGTGTTTGAAGACGCCGTAGCTTATAAATAGTTTGTGGACCACATGTTCTTGAGGAAGCAGTGGTTCTAAGAGATGTGTGATTTTCCCCAGGTTTTCTCAAAAACTGTTACTGAAAAAAGTATGTAACTAAAGTAATATTAAAAGTAGATTTTGGTTCTTCCAGTAGTAGCAAGGAGCGGGTTCTGGTAATTGAAACTAGGAACGAACAGTCATTTAACGGAGCATGCACAGAGTGACTATAAAGACTGTGTTCAAAATAATACAAAAATTTTAAGCATCTGCTGTTCTTCTTGGAGATTAAAATATTTCATAATTAGAACTGGTTAATCAACTTATTTTTCCTGTTAGTATCTTGTATGTCACTTTCAGTAACATTTTTACTATAAATGTATAGTTTTAAATGAAACTACTATTCATATCATTCTCTGGGAGTCTTGTTTTCAGTACCCTCTGTTAAAACCTATCTGCTGTGTACCTGGAGTTTTATAATAGAATTCTTCCTAGTATTGTTCTGTTCTACCGTTTTATGTCAAATCTAGTACTTTGCCAGTGTTCTTTCCACTTTTATTTTTAGTTAAAAGCTAGATGGATTTCATACACTACAGATACAGTTTTACCACGTGCATCATCAGTGTTCTGGCATCCTATTTCTGCCCACTCACCACTAGAAATCATTTTTGTACAAGGCTTGCTCCAGAATACAGTTGTAGAGCAGTTTGATGTCTTTAGAGGTAGGAAATTTGTTGATACGACTAGGATCATTCTGAGTCTCGCCATCTTCGATATGCGTTTGTCAGAACTGGGAGTGGTTCAGAACACCTGAATTACAGCTGTTGACTTTGGACAACCTTTCTAAATATTGAGCAAACAATATTAAGTCTAAATTTTAAGTAGACCATTTAAAGCTACTTTGTGGATTTGATAATAAATCTGATCATGCTTTATAGCTAAGGCAGATTTTAGTTAAAATTAAGAAGAAAATATCTGTTTCTTTAACACTAACACAAACTAATTAATTACACCAGAAATTTATGACTCATATTTATCATCAGTTCTATTGTTTACACTAGCTTTTAAGGAAATCAGGAGTGCATTTGATATATTTAAATTAACTCCAGAAGAAAAAAACGATCTTACTGAGAATAATCGGAAAAGAGAAGAAATTCCACTGGATTGTAAAATCACAGAAGATTACAAAACCAAGGAAAACAAGTTATTTAAAGAAAGGAGAAATACAAGAGATGAAACGGATACTTGGGCATATATAGCTGCAGAAGGTGATCAGGAGGTTCTAGACAATGTATGTCAAACAGATGAGAGTTCTGGTGAGTATGTTTGTCATCATTTTGCAATGTTTTTTCAGGGTAGTGTACCATGTTTATCTTCCTCCCATTCTTTTCTCACACTTTAATTCTGATCTGAAGATAATAACAGAGTAGAAACTTCTATTTGGATATCTTGAGTGAATAACTTTATATGGGAGATAGGTCATCCTGTGACTTCTGAATTGATCAGACATATTTTCTGAGTACCTATAATGTTCTCAGCACATTTAGAAATTATAAAAATTTCTGATTGTCTACCTTACCTACTCTTACCAAGCACCTGATTTGTGTATAATTTTATTATATTTCTGTCAGAAATTTATCAAGTATACACTTACTATATTCTGCCCTTTAACTTTTTTTTTTTTGGTACTTTAGATTGAAGGTTTATAGAACAAACTAGCTTCTAAACAATTAGTAAACATACTGTTTTGTGACATTGGTTGCCAACCCCACGGCATGTCAACACTCTCCCTTTCTTGACCTTGGGTTCCCCACCTCCAGCTTTCCTGTCCCCTCCCACCTTCTCGTCCTTGCCTCTGGGCTAGTGTGGCCATTTAGTCTCGTTTTGTTTTATGGGCCTATCTAATCTTTGGCTGAAGGGTGAACCTCAGGAGTAACTTCATTACTGAGCTAAAAGGGTGTCTGGGGGCCATACTCCTGGGGTTTCTCCAGTCTCTGTCAGCCCAGTAAGTCTGATCTTTTTATGTGAGTTAGAATTTTGTTCTACATTTTTCTCCAGTTCTGTCTGGGAACCTGTGTTGTGATCCCTATCGGAGCAGTCAGTAGTGGTAGCCGGGCACCATCTAGTTGTGCTGGACTTAGTCTGGTAGAGGCTGTAGTACTTGTGGTCCATCAGTCCTTTGGACTAATGTTTCCCTTGTGTCTTTGGCTTTCTTCATTCTCCCTTGCCCCAGACCGGGTGAGACCATTGGAGTATCTTAGATGGCCACTCACAAGCTTCTAAGACCCTAGATGCTACTCACCAAAGTAGAATGTAGAATATTTTCTTCATAATCTATGTTATGCCAGTTGAGCTAGATGTTCCCCAAGATCATGGTCCCCACAGCCCTCAGCCCAGCAATCTGGTCCCTCAGGGAGTTTGGATGTGTCTGTGGAGCTTCCATAACCTTGCCTTAGACAAGTTGTTCCGCCCTTTAACTTTGCAGTAAGTAACACTAAATAAGATTATATTGTAAATGCTGTTCTTAGGACATTGGAATTGGCTGAGAAGGAGGGGAGAACCTTGTATAGAATGCAGAGTACAACAGCTGTGGGAAGAGGTGATTAACAAGTAGACATGTATATATTTATAAGTAGGACAGAATAAACAAAAAAGATGAATCTGATAAGACTGCGTATAATTTGTGAATCTTGAGGAACAGTTGAAGAGAATTTTTAAAATATTTCAAAGCATGACAGACTAGATAATCTGGGAGACCCTGTATACCTAGATAAAACATGCTTTTTTGACGCATTGCTGAGCTTGCAAGAAATTGGGGCAATTTTCAGGACCATTGGGCAAGGGAGAGGAAGTTGGTTGCCCAGAGGGTGCAGTTGTGGGTACCAAGCAATGAAGAACAGATAGAGTAGGGAACATCAACAAAGCCTGAAGTTGTTTCCTTGAAGACTAACAAAATAGACAATCCTCTGGCACAATTAGTTGGGAGAAAAATGAATAAAGCCTTAAGCAAACAATATTTTGAACTAAAAGAAGAATTATAGATTGTGTATAGATTAAAAAGATAAAAGAATTTTATGAGCAATTTCTTGCCATCAAATCTGTAAATTGGATGAAATGGACAAAGTCCTAAAAAAATAGAACTGACCCAACAAGAAATAGAAAGCTGGAATAGCATTATAACTATTAAAGAATGTGAAATAGTAATTTTTATTTGCAAGGGCTACCAAATTTAAACTCTTTCTAAAAGTAGACAAAGAACACTAATTCATTCTGTGAGACCATTATAACTTCATTACCAAAACCAGGTGAAGACTATACAAAAAAGGAAAATGACAGGTCAGACTCATTCATGAATGCAGATACAGAAATCCCAAACAAAACATTGCCAAATCAGATCTCTAGCCATGTGTAAAAAAAATGATAATCCCTTATAATCAAGTTGGATTTTCCCTAGGAAATCAGTGGGTAAGGAGAAATTGATTGAGTTGATGTAGACGAGTATTCTTCATTAAAAACAAGCAAACAAACCTAGCAAACTGAATGGAAGGGAGCTTTCTCAACCTGATAAAGAACATTACCAAAATCTTTTGGTAAACATCTTTTTTTTTTTTTTAAAAAAAAAATAATATTTTATTGTGTTTAAGGTGAAAGTTTACACAGCAAATTAGGTTCCCATTTAACAGTTTCTACACAAATTATTCAGTAATATTGTAACCCTTTGGTGACCCAATTATTTTCTCCTTTGAATTTTTTGTGGATACTTTGTGTTTTCACTAATGGAAGGCATGCTGATTAAAGGACCAATTCATAATTATTATTATGAGTTATGGATTTTGATATCCATTATCTGGGATCACCTGCGTCCCAGCGGACCCTGGATATAGTAAATCCTACCAATATGAGTCAGTGATAAAATCTTTTTTTTTTTTTTAATTTTTAAAATTTTATTTCTTGAAAATTTGCAAACCATGAGGTAAAAAACATGAAGGCACCTGGCAATGACTGCACATGCATTTTATTCTAGTCTCTTTCTTCTTAGCCTTTTTATTATTTTTTCATGAAACTTTTCAAAACATGGTACAGTGCATTCTTCCTTACTGCAAAAGCGGTACTTGACAGCCCAAATAAATAAAGCCAATGGATTTTTTATCTCAGGAAGATTACCACTACAGTGTATTCTTCATTACTGCAAAAGCAGTACTGACAGGTGAAATAAAAGTAAAGGAATTTCAATCTCAGGAAAATTACCACTACTATGTAGTCATCATTGTAATAAAAGCAGTGCTAACAGCTAAGAAGCAGAAATAGCTGCCCTGGAATAATGCAGAACTGTTCACAGCTCCACATGGAAGCAATGATAGGACCGTAAGAATGAATGGAGGATAAGAATAACTTACAGGAGTTTGAGTTTCTGGAAAAGTACCACTACAGTGCATTATTCCTTGTTACAAACATATTATTTACTGTTCGGAAGCTAGAAAAGCAGGAAGCCAGGAACACCTGGAAACAATGGATGGCATCAAGGAGAAAATGACCATTATCACTGAATGAAGACTGGGAATAGTTTATTCTCATGATAAGTACGTTCTCACGAGAACATAGTAACTGTGAAACATAGTGAGAAGGATTATCTCATGCTTATCTCAAACAGAAATAAAGGCAAACCTGTCAGAAGTTTAGAAAATTCACACATCCATGAAGTATCAGCTAAAACAGTGCTCAATGTGCATAAAAACGCGGCTCCAGCTCAGGGTTCTTGAGTTTCATGTATTTCAGAAAGTTCCCACCTTGAGGCTAAACGTGTTAAAATGGGGCTACCTCTTTCGCAAAGAACTCTAGGGGCATAAAAAGTGGTTGAGATACAGTATGTCCCAGAGATCACCAAAGGGTTAAAAACAAGCAGACAAACCTAACAGACTGAATCAGAGGGAGCTTTCTCAACCTGAGAAAGAGCATTCCCAAAATCTTTTCGCAAACATCTTTTTTTTTAAAATAATATCTTACTGTGTTTAAGGTGAAAGTTTACACAGCAAATGAGGTTCGCATTTAACGATTTCTACACAAATTATTCAGTAATACTGGTTACATTTTTCACAGTGTGTCGTCATTCTCATTGATTCCATTCCAGTTGTACCATTTCCAGTACTCTGTTTTCCCTGCCACCTTGCTTTCTTGTCTTTGCTTTAGAGTAATTTTTTTCCGTTTGTTCTATAGATGAAATTTTGGAGGAGCTCATTACTTACGGGTGATATTCTTGAATTTTGTGAGCCAGTCTCTTATTTAGCTAAAAGGTGACCTGAAGGGACAATTTCAGTTTAAGGTTGAAAGTGTCTCAGGGTGATAGTCTCGGGAAGTCCTCTAGTCTCAACCAGTCCAGTAAGTCTGGACTTTTTAAGAAGCTGAATTCTGTTCCCCCATTCTTTAAGGATCCAACTATTGTGGCCCTGATCTGAACTGTCGGTAGTGGTAGCTGGGCACCATTTAGTTCTTCTGGTCTCAGGGTAGATGAAACCGTGGTTCTTGTAGACTATTAGTCCTATAGACTACTTTCTGCTCTGAGCCTTTGGTTTCCTTTCTCTTCTGTTTTGGATGAGTAGAGACCAATAGTTGTATCTTAGGTGGCCACTCGCAAGCTTTTAAGACCCCAGACGCTAACCACAGTGGGATGTAGAATATACACTTCATGACCTATATTATGCTAGTTAACTGAGTTGTCCCATGAGAGTATGGTCCTAAGACTTCAAACCTGGAACGCCAGTCTCGCAGGGTGTTTGGCTATGTCTAAAGAAGTATCCCTAACTGTGTCTCCTATGTGGTTTACTGTATATATGGACATGCATGCACATACCTGTGTGTACATTTGCCTATAGATACTTCTGTCTGTGCACACATATGTACCCACATATTTATACTCATATACTTACATGGCTGTATACATATCTGTGTAACCACACATAGTTTTGGTGTTGTTGCAAAATTGTATTTGTCATATCCTTTACCAAAAACATCTTTTTTTCTTGTGCATTTCTTAGTGACATCATTTACCTTGGTCAGGCTGTGTGCACTTCACCCGCATCCGATGCTGTCTTTCCCATCACCAAAACTAACAAGTGTCTACTATTTCGAGAGTTTTTCCTCTGCCTCCTCCCCCCGCCCCATCCCAGTAACCACCAGTGAGTGTTGGTCTGTTCTTGTCTTATAAAAGTGTGCTCATACAGTATTTGTCTTTTTGTGATTGACTTATTTCACTCAGATTCCTCCACATTCATCCATGTTATAAGATGTTTTGAGGACTCATTATTTTTTATGGCTGTGT